AAAAAATAGAGAAATCGTGTTCCCCAAGAGAACAAAAGGCACACAGTTCAGACAGCCTTCTCCCATTACCGGCCAAACAGATGATCTTCAATAGAAACTGAAACATTGCTTAACCTATATACGTCCATACCCTAAGGTGCAACTACCTCCTGAGACTTAGATATTTGGTCTCTTCCCTTACTAAGAGGTCCATATTTTCAGGATTCTCATACCTCGCCGGTCACACAAAGTGCAGAGTTTGTTGTGAGAACTTTGAATTAGATTGCCTAATATTGAGAAGTATTAATCTGAGACAACTATTGCAATATCGTGCGCGTATTCACACCAATATCTTCAAGTTCGTGAAGGAGGCTGCCTACTGCTATGTTCCACCGAAGCGGTACCCCTGACCAGTAACATTTGTATTTTTTATTCACCTAATCCTGCCCTTATTTCTTGGCCTATTATCATGCGTTCGATAAGCAAGGTTTGTGAATTGCTTACTCGCAGATTAACAGTATTTTTAAAATTAAAATGAAATTAATATTTTATTAATTTTTCATCTTATTCATACTTTAAACAAGTACTTTAAAGCAATACATCGTTTTCGTAGATCAACCTTGACCTAAATATGCATTAATGCTTCCATTTTGCGACAGGAAGACAATAACCTGCAACAAATTTGGAACAAATTTTAAACTACAAATGAAAGCAAAAGTGTGCCCATTTCATCACTTTCCATAAATAGCATACAAAGAATAACAAAAAGTAGTCATAAAACAAAACAGGTAAAGTATCACTTCCGACAATACAAATTCATGATGTTCGCGCCAAGCAGTACAAAAAAAAAACGAAAAAAAAACAAAATAAAAACAAGTTTAATTGCTAGAAACACGAAAATAACTACGAAAATAAAAAAAAAACAAGAAAACTGCGCAAGTTTATTAACCCCAGCGACCTAATGACAGCAAAAACAGAAGAGCGGCGCAATCCATTAAACACTAAATTAAGTTAATTAAAATACTTCAGATATGAATAATTAAGTAACTGTATGCAATGCAATGTTCAATTTTTTAGTTTAAAAATTACTGATTCCCCTTAACCGATATTAGACTAAAGAAATCATCGTTTACAAATAAACCAATTGTCTTTCGTGTTTTTAGGCTATTGGGTGCTTATGTTTTCTCGTTCACAAAACGTTTGAAAGCTTTAAAGAAGGTGCGGTCTTTAGCCAAACTGTAGCTAGCAAAATAATACGAGCAAGAATTTGCGCATGTTTTGCTCATCCGCTGGCCGATCACGTTCTAATGTCGCTAATTAGAAAAAACAATCGCTTGTTTGTTTTTTTTTTTTAATTTCTTCTTCTACTTTCTACATATTTTATGCTTTTTAGTTTTTATTTGGATAGAAATTGCGATTTACATAAATATTTGGGAAATTTTTGAATTTCTACCTCATAATGAAGTTATAGGCATGACTAGGCAGAATTGTCTGCAGTTAGACAAGGAACCGCTGTCACTGGAGCAACGGCAATATGAATGGGGTGAATAAGTTTTTTCTTGGTATACTATATAGCACATACATATACATATGTACTTATTTAAATTTTAAAATAATGTCTTTTTCGAACTTTGACCTTTTCTCGGTTTTCAAAAAGTTTGTTTTGCGAATATTTATTAATTTTTACGAGCGACTTCGCACATGATTGCGAAAAAAATATCTATTAATACTTTTAAGTATTGGCAGTAATATTTATTAGAATGGAAGGCTTAAAAGCAAAAATGTTGTGAAATAATTATAACGTCGTTTAAAGTACAAAACCGCATATCAACAAAATCCAAAACATCATATGTAAGTTCACCAAAAATTTTATTAGAGAGAGAGTAAAACTTGCCTTATTTCAAAACGCTTCTCTCTTTTTCCCTTAATTATCACTTCTTCTTATATCTAAGTATCGATATTTTTGTATGAATGGATAAGGGTTTGATACCAGGAGCTTCCATTGAGCAAATATCTATGCGGTTTTGTAATTTAAACGACGATAAGTGGAAATAATATAAATTTTGCAAATAAATAACGCATACATACATATGCACATATGTATACACATGCATACATACGTAGAACAAGTGCTGAAAATTGTTGTTCTATTCTATTTGATAATGCACTATAGCTGAGTAGAAGCTGCTTTACCAAATTTTATCGCTGATTTAACTAAAAACGTTTATAGTAGGGATGGAAATTAAAATTTACAACTCGATTAATGAATCAAAGGGATTAATCCAAGGCAAAAAATGTGTAATTGCAATTAATTACAAGATATTAATCGATTAATCGGCCTTTTGGATTGTTTTTGCGTTTAGAAACTTAGTTCGTATTGATGAAATGTATCCTGTCCTTTGGAATGGAGTGTATGTAGTTATTTACACAACCAATGATGTGGCTTTGTATTGACCTATATGAATAGAAAAGATTTAAAATTGTGATTCTCAAAAAATTTCTCCCCTTAACTGTTGTTAGAGGCATTGTTTTTTTGATTTAATAACTACACCAAATATTTTACGGTACCAAAAAAATACTTCAAGCCGAAAAGAAAGCAACTAATTTGCTTACTTACTCTCTAATTAATCTTTGAGAGTATTTCTCGTTCAGCTACAAAAGAATCAACATTTTGTATTTCAATTAAATTTTTTTGTATAATTTTATGTCTGAACACTATTTGACACCGTGACATGGATACCTAAATTATTTCATTGTCAATGCTTTCGTATAATAACTAGCAGAACGTAATCAAACATGCGCCATGAGACTAGTATTATTTTATTGCAAATGAGTTGATATTTTCTCATTGATATGTCACTACCATTCTAAAGGTTTTGTTTTGTTTGCAAACAACGTGAGCAGGTATTATTCGAAGCGTTAAGCAACTATTTGAATTTGCATATAGAAATTAGGCTGTTTGAACCATATTTAGCGAAAGGTCTATTAACTACAACAAAAAATTGTCTTTCACGGTTTCAGTGATCCCATTAAACTCAGCCGCAGAGATTTAGGGCTGGTTTCTCCAATTCAAATTAACATAGTTTAGCCAATTTTTTGGACTTAGTCAATAATAAGCTGAATAAAAAGTAGGCTAACTTTTGACCTAAGTCTAAAAGAGGGCTAAACTAAGTAAAGTTGAGTTTGAGAAACCATACCTAAGTGGTGATGGGATTGGAAAAAAGTTTAAGTAAAGTAAAATAAATTATTTAATATGTCAACAATTGTAAAAGTATCATTTATCATTAATTCAATGTAAACCTTTTAATTATTATCTTCCAACTTATCGTCGTCTCTGATATATGTATTTTATATTCATCTCGCAAGCATTTTTATAAATAGCAACCAAATAAAAAATCTAGCACTTAACTTCCTCAATTTCTTGTTAAAACCAGTTATTTTAGGGGGAAAAGTAAGCAAACATCTAACTTCAACACAGTAGCAGGATTTTTGTTAATTAGAATATGTGTGCGCGCTAAATTTAAAAATTCACCATACACACAATACATAAATAGGTGTGTATATACATTAGGGTGGACCTGAAATGCATGTGGCGTGGAAAAAGTAAAGTGGTAATTTCAATGCTCTCACCCACTGTTCTATATCGAAAAAATATAACCTGGTTTTTTTATTTCGAGATCAAAAAATTTTTAGAGGTCATTCAAAGCGCTCAAAGTTTTCAATGTATTTATTTGTGGAAAGAAACAATGTTTCGTAGAAGTTGTGTACAACTCTTAAAAATCAATATTTTTCAAACGGAAAACTTTTTTTCTCTTCTTGAGTTTTCCTATAATATAACCCAATTGTTTATTTTATCATTTTGTAATACTAATGATTGTTTATGGGTCTCCTCATTGCATTTTTATGGTTTTCAGGGAACCTATAAAATAGTTAGTATTAAAAAATGGTTAAATAAACACTTGAGTATATTTACTGGAAGTCTCCTGAAGAGAAGAAGAGTTTTCCGACAGAAAGTATCGATTTCGGAAAATTCCATACCATTTCTACGGAAAATTGTTTTTTTCCATTACTTAAAATACATGGAAAACTTTGGGTGCTTTGAGCGACTTCTAAATGTTTTTTGATATCAAGTTAAAAACAGGGGTATATTTTTCGATATAGAACAATGCTAGGCGGTGAAATCATTCAAATTCCGACTTTACTTTTTTTGGACCACCCTAAATGTACACTCTAATTTACATTATATATGCGCAATAGTTCGATGCTCGGTTCAATAGAACAATAAATTATACATACCATCCACTAAGCGCTATTTAATGTGGTAATTAAGCAGTAAATCAACACTAAATAGTTTAGCTAATACATATGTAATCTGTTGATTCCATTGTTTGGGACTCTGTTTTTCAAAATTGGCAAATGTTAATAACTTTGCGAACATACATATGTATATGTACTACACATTTATCATATCTGGCTGAGTTATTAACGATGCTGACTTACACCAACACCGGCCTTGCCAACAGGTTGCATTAAAGCTGTTAAACCGGCGTTTAACCTCTCCCCAGTAGAATCTAAATGATCAGCTTTGCTAAGGAGTGAAGCTAGTCGACTGCAGAAATGCCTTGATGGTGTTTTGCTCGGAGGAGAAACGATTTGTCTATTCTTTATCTAACCTCAAAATATCACATATTTCTTTATTCTCTTTGTAAGAAAGCTATGAAATTGCTAATTGATTGCCTGATTGGTGAAATACGCCCACTTTTTCACACTGCATTCAAAATATGTAAAGACCTTTCTAATCGCGTGAAAATCGAGTCAAATTAGGCGGGGCGAAAACGTTTTTGACGGCATATTATTATTGGTTTTGGTCTGACGGTTATGAAACATGTTGCTTATTTATAAATGTTTACAAAACTTCGTATTAAGAGAACAAAAATATTTCTCATTGCTTGATGGTTTTATTTCATTTCTTTTTTAAATTTTATAATCTAAACATTTTTGTTAAAAAAAAAATATATATATATATGTATATTGTGTGTATTTTTTAAATGTTGCAGAACCACTTTTGGCAACATTTATCTTGAGTCTTGACGAAGAGACACTGAAAACTAATTGGTTTCTTAATTAATGTTGCCTTTACAACATTCTAAGGTATCATTTAAAATAAACCCTTAGAAAAAATATTTCAAACAATAGGCAATAATATCGATTCGTTCATATTTTAATGTAATTTCTGTCACTCCCATTTATAGGATCGTAATACAAATTTGATCTACAAATAGCTTTAATAGATATGTATCTTTCTCTTTTCATTCGTTTTTTTTTTAGAAAAAAATCATTTAAAAACTTTTTGTGCCGTTGCGTTTATGTACAATTTACATAGATAAGTATGTACTGTGTACTTTTCTGTCAACAACCTTTAGAAAGACTTAAGATACAAGCTTCTGAAACATTTTTGTACAAAAGACTTATGATGCAAACTTTAACCTTTAATACATACATACATATGTATATTTATGAACATAAGTGAATGATTGTTTTACAGATCAAAAGGAGTTTTCCGGCGCAAGGATAGCTATGTGCTAAAAATAATTTCGCTTTGCCTGGAAGTACCCATTATAGAGTGCTGGAACTTGGTATGGAGATACACAAAATCAATTCCATACGAAACATGCTGAAACTTTTACCCTTTCTTTATATGTATATATGTATATATAATTATTCTGTACGCGCGTATGGCTGCACCGATTTTAACGAAAGTTTTTTGTGTGTGTTTTGGGGAGTCCGTGGTCAGTTTAAGTTCACAATATTCGAAATATGCATTGGTAACGTAAAGGGAAACATTCCTGGACTCGAATTATTACTAAAAATCCTCGAGTGAGAAAAAGTGCCGTCAATGTCCGAATACATCGACCTGCTGCACCATTGCGTATGTCGAACTACTGTGTGCTCCGATTGGGCCAATGGATGTGATTTTCTAATATTACTATGCGTTAAAGCTTCCTTCGCAGACACGAAGATTGAGTTTTGCAGGGCTTAATCTTAAATTACTACCGTTAAAACAACCACTAGAATCATGTGCTTCTCAATAAGACATCTAAGGTTTTTCCAAGATCAGTTTACTCAAGATTAAAATTGTAAATGATAAGAATAAGGTCAAGAAAAAATACTCAAAAAAGTAGGCGGAATATTTCTTTTCAGAAACTCGCTCAGCATAGACTATAGTCTACTAGCTAGCTAGGTTTTTTTTCGAGGAATGCCTTTCCCTATGTATTACAAAATGACTAGCTTTTAAAACAAATGGGAAAAAAATATTATTATTATTATTATTAATTTTTTTGATGATACTGATTGTTAAATTTCTAAACTTACCTTTTTTTACTAAAACCCTGCACTTTTCTAATATTTTTTTAATAGGCGAAAAAGTCAATTTATATGAATCAAGCGCGCTGAATGTAATTTCTAATCATCACGGCGTTAAAGTTCAAATATCAAGCGTAAATATGTAAATATGTTCGTAAAAGCTTTTCAATCTATTTGGATTTAGTTTTCGGCTTTTGAGTACTAAACTTTATTCTATTTTATTTTACTTTCAATAAGAAATCCTTTTATATATTATCTACTATTCAACTGAAGCACCAATTTATTTCTTAATTTTTAATTGTCTTTTTTTTGCATTTGTTTAAACTTGTTTCATTAGTCAGCAGTTTTTTATATTAAAACACATTTTTCAGTACGAAACTGGTATTTTTCGCCAATGTTGTAAGAGTTTTTTGAAAATAATTTCAGTCCGATTTTCTCCTTTCGTTTGTGTTTTTAGTGCAAATCTCTCAACAATCGTTAAATTATTGCAAATTTACACTTTTCATCATGCCGAGCAAACGTGTGTTAATTTCCGAAGAATGTAAACAAATAAAATTTCACACAAATTTTTAAGTTAAATACACCGAGTTAATAGTACATAAGCGAGAAATTCTTGCCAAGCCAGCAAAAGTATAATGCGCCATCCGCCGCGCTCAGAATCAGAATCTGACTGAAAATTCTTATTATGATTATTTTATATCAAATTTCACAGCAGCGGCAACTAAGCATTCGCTGTAGCTGCAGCAGAAACGCCAACTGCGACTGCGAATGCTGAAGCGTACCGGACATTTAAGAGAAGGAATATGAAGAGGAGAAACCCCGGCAGCGACGTCAATCAGTAAAAGTGACGGAACGTTGCTAGAGCAGACCCCACAATCGACCGAGACTGGGCTTAAACCGAAGATAGAATCAGCGTCGTATGACCAGCGGCTACTCGGGCAGCGCACAATGAATTGAGATGTGCAAAAAAAGTGAATTATAAAAACAAAACAAAAACCAAAAAAAAGCAAGAGACAGCATAGAATGAAACGATAACTCACTTACTCGCATTTAGTCCACTAAAATAGCATAGCGAAGGGGCGAAGGAGGGGGCGTGATTTATAAGATTATTTTATAGGTGCATGATGTGACTACCGGCGAGCTGCCCGGCGCGCTAACTAGCAATTAAGATGCCATCCAACATACGAAAAGGGGTGTAACATAAAAAATGTACAAGCGCGCCAAAAGCCGCGCACCACTCCGCGCGCTGACAGTAGGTATTTTATAAATATACTCGTACAGGTGGTTGTGTCTTCTGGCGGCGTATCGCATTATCGTCGCGTTGATATCAAAATCAGTTAATTATGCCGTTGTTGTGCGTGCTCACAGTACCGAATCAGCAGCAGATACATACATTCATTACAGTCGCATAACCTAGCTAGAGCTAAGTCGCACTGTGTTCCATTTTTGAACAAAGGGTGACAAAATAAAATATCTCTAGAACGAGAAAAGAAAGTGAATAAAATTTAACGATATTTTAAAGATTTTTAGATGGATAATTGGCTCGTTGGATGGTAGAAATACCTTGACCTTTAAAATAGCCTCAAATATAGAAGGTTTTAGATTTTTTCTTTTTTTGACCTAAAATCAATCTGCAAAGTGCTTTTTAAAAAGTTTTAAATGCGAAAAGAAAAAATCATTTAAAATTTTCTTTTTAATTCATTACAAGCTGTTTTTAGGTACAAAAAAATAAATCCAAAATTGAAGGTCGGATTTAAGGTGAAGGTAATTTCTCGTTCAAACAGATCTTTAAAATTTTCTTAAAACTGAAATTTTATATTTTTTGTCTATTTTCGACCTAAAAACAGCTTGTAAATAACTAAAAAAGTATTAAAAAGGCGTTTTCGGTTCTTTCAACCATGAAAAGGGATCTCCTTTGACGCAAGAACAGCGAAAACATGTTTTAAAACTTTTAGATAGTTCAATGCATACTGGTTTCAGCACCCAAAGTAAAAAACTTTAAAACCTTCTATATTTGAATGTCATGGTAATTATTTTATCCAAGGACACGATTTTCTTCTGAATTGTCTATCTGAAAAAATACCGTTACATTTCCTTCGCTATCTCTTCTCGTTCTCGAAATATTTGATTTTGTTCTTTTTCCTAAAATATAACACTGTGTGCCGCCTCAGATGACGTCGCTGTTGATTCTCTGTGGCGTCGTTCGTATGTTGTGAGTTGTTAATTTAATTTGTGAGCAATACGCATTGCTTCTGGAATCTTAAACAATACCTTCACTTTGGTTGCTTACTGACTTATGTATCTGCAGACTTTGAGCTCCGTATGATTTTTAAATTCATTTTGTGTGCAGTGTATATGGAAAAGTAAATACTTATTTGCTTTTGTGGTAGGCTATAGCACTACTTATGGTGCTTACTCTTTAAATGGTGCGTACACGCTTTTAGCGGATTTTTCTAAATTTGAATTTGTTTATGCAAATAGTTTATTGAATCACACGTTCTTAGCGTACGGCTCTTTTATGGAACGTAATGTGAAAAGAACTTTTATTTCGTAAGTGTTCAATGTGGTGGGTGGAATTTTTTTCTCAATCAAAAAATTTAACTGTCCCTCATTGAGCGCTATGTCGATAACCTGAACGCGGATATGTAGAGCGTATAAAGATCGGATTTTTACATTTTTCGTAGTATCTTTGGACGCATGTGACTTATAGTTTTAAAGTTATAGCTGATTAAAAATTGCTTACAATATACTTACACACTTCCGCAAATATATAGCAGATTTATCTACGGACGGCCACCAAACCGTGATGACGTAGATCAGAATGGGACACACAACCCCTGTGTGCATCTAGTTCACAATGTGAGGCTTGAAGCCCCAATTTTTCCGATCGCTGATTAACAGGCATATAGGTCAGTTATGGCTTTCTTGCTACGCTCGTCTATATCACGCCGTTAAGTTAACTTTCCGTCAAGAGTAATGCCCTTCTTTAGAAAAAATCAGCGTAGTACCATTCAAGAAAGAAGGTTTTCATTTTTCTTAAAAAAAAGGACCATGACTCTTTTTGCCGAATTCGCAGTAAGGCCTCCTTCTTTGAACCGAGTATCCAAGACACGTAAGGCGCCTTGAACCAAGTCACATTGGCGTGACAACAGAGTTAGATTCGAAAGGAGTGGGGAAAGGACACCGCACTGCAAGGTGCCGAGGTTTGCGTATCCTGCTGCGGATACCTCCCCCATCTCCTAATATATATTTCTGTTTCCTAGAAAGCGACGAACAAGTTCTACCAGAGGGTGATCCATCCTAAGGCGAGTTAGGGCGTGGATAACAGCCTCTGGGAGATCATTATTGAAGGTCCTCCCAATATCTAGTAATACGCCTAGTGCAAATTCCCTAAAAGCCAGTGCCCTTTAGTGTATCTAACAGTAATATGCAAAGCTGTATCTAAAAAAAAAATTAAGACAAGCAGTGGACATAAAACGTCATATGCTGACTGCAGCCCGGCAGGGAAAATACCGTTCCAAACTAGATATTTGTGGGGTTGGAAGGACTTTATGGCCCAGTCTGCCCATTTTACATCAATGAACCCCGCTGACACCAACTAGCATATAGAGGTAATAACATCGGTGCTAGGTTCCGCAGTATACCCGTAGGAGGCATCTTTATCCTTCAGCAGCTTCGTAACATTTTTCATCGCACCAATTATTCGTTCGGGGTCACTAAAAACCGACTACTTCATCGTAGTAAATGCGATTCCACTGCTCGCATATGCCGGTTTGTTGAAGAGCATTGAAATCGCCAAGTACTATTTTAATGTCGTGACAGGGGCAGCGCTCGTATATGCGCTCCAAACGCTCATAGAAGAGATCCTTGGACGCTTTATCACGAAGTGGGCGCCAATGAGCGAGATGTTGTAGAATCTCGCTTTGAAGCGGATTTTGGTGAAACGCTCGTACACTGGGTGGAACGACAGTACTCGGCAATGGAGTCTCTCTCCCACCACAAATCAAAGTCCGAATTTGCGCTCCTTTGCGCGGCAGCATTTTTTGCCTTGCCACGTCCATCGCTTTTCTTGAATAGCGGTGATGTCAGCCTTTGTCTTTCGAGAATATTAACCAGTCGAGCAAGTGGGTTCGTCTTCTCACAATTAGCTCGCTTTCGAAAGGGTGTTCGTTGCTACCCAGAGGATACTTAGTGTAAATACTGGAAGCCATAAGCTGCCTGAACCGGATAGCATAATGATAGTTTTGGCCGCTCCCTGGTGTTCGTCGAAAGAGTGCTCTACTTTTCAATTGCCTACCGAGCCCTATAAGTATAAAAGTGAAAATTTTAAATCAATTAAATTTTAAATTTAGTTGTGATTATATAAATATATATATACATTTATATACATATGTACACTACATATCGCTAGCTTAGAGTGAAAAGTCCACTTTTTTGATAACTCATATTTTAATATAAGAAGCAAGAGAAATTAGAAATGCTTCATTTGTAAAGGAGAAAGTACTTGTTTTATTTTATTTTTCTTTTCGTTTTTTATTTAATGAAAGATAAAGTCCAATAGAAAGCACTGTAAATCCGATAAGGCCAATATAATACGAAATATTTTAATAAAGATCGAATCCATCTGATTCGTACGGAGTCTTCCCTTGCATTAAATATGAAATATTTTGTATTCAAAGTTTTGTAAAATACATGAAAAAAGGGCTGTAAGAAGTTTTTTTCCTCTCCCGTAAAATTTGTAAACCCGGACTTGACAACTTTTCGCTGTAAGCTAGCGAGATTTACTCAAGCGCAATTATATCTTGTTTATGTACATATGTATGTATATATACTAACCAAAAGTATTATTCACTAATCAAATGGAAAAATATGGCAATTTAAGTAATTAACCATTCTAAACCTAAAGAAACAAAACAGATTTACACACTTGATAAACAGGCTATAAATTTCAAAATGAAATGATGTCACAAAAACATAAAAAGTTTGGCGACATTCATACAAAAAAAAAAATATCGTATTGATTGGGAATATTAGCGAAACTAGTGCGTAGTTTTTTTCTCTTTTTACTTGTAATATAAACATTTCTCAAATAAATGTTTTTTTCATTTTTTGATTATTTTTCGGCTTTTTTTCTTTTTTTAGTGACTTCTTTTGCCTTTTTTCGATTTCTAGTGCCTTTTCCTACCTATTTTGCTATTTTATTTTGCCTTTTCTATAAGTTTTTAGGTCTTAAAAATCCGTTCCCTGATCATAAGCAATCGTACCCCACAAATGGTATATTAAACTAAAGCCAACCTCCCTACCTAACCTGTTATGCCTTGTTTATTATTATTCATATTGAAATTTAAAATAATAATGTCGTGATATTCAAAATAAACAAATTACCCGTAAATGGCAGGTAGATTTCATCGAAAGACAAATCTTTTCGCATTAATCTATATAATAAATTGTTACAATTAAAATAAATTTATTGCTCCCAGTTTCAAGTCCACTAACAACTCATCAAAATAAACCAAAGTAAAGCAGATGCTACGGGAATACTAAAATCGAAATTGGATTGTACATAAATTAAATGGACTTTACACTTTGTACCGTAAAGTACCTGTTGATAAGCTGACGTCAGTGCATGCAAGAATTGTGACAGCGCAGCGTCAGCATGACAATATAGAATTTTAGTATTTAGCTGACAGCGGCCCAGGGCACAATTTCAACAAGAGAAAAAAAGAAGAAGTATGTATTTACATATAAATATATGACTGGCCTGTGGCTGCCATGTGCGAAAATTCACAAAGTAAAAGGCAAAGCGAAACAAGAATTTTGTATGTATGATTAAAAGTAA